TGGTGCACAAACAAACGCCCGAGGTTCTTGATCGAACACTGCAAGATTTGCGCGGAAACACCAGACAATTTTGGAGATGCATTGCTACTGTTTGCAGGAGACTTCAGGCGGAAACTACCTGCAATTCCTCGATTGACACCAGGCGACAAGGCAACCGGCTCGTGGCCCGGTGAGTAGAGGCGTTGACTTCTAAACCAACAGGTCGCGAGTTCGAGGCTCGGGTGTTCCACACTTCGGGCTTGGGTATGGCTGGCTGACGACGGCTAATAAGCCGGAAATGGCCATTCCAGTCTCCCTTGTCTTTGTCGGCAATACTATTCTGCCTATATATATATATGTGAGATGCATATATATATGTGAGATGCATATATATATATATATATATATATATATATATATGTGTGTGTGAAATGAATGAAGTCCTGTCAGCAAATGGAGTAATACTCCGTAAATTTTAAGCTTGTCACACAACCTGTCGTGGAGAGTAGGATAATCTAGCACGCCACATCTGTCCTGGTTCGTCAACCTGCGGGAGCTAGACGTAAACTGGATATTTCTTCGATAGTGGAATACATGACCATCGTTTTAGCCTGGTGTTGTATTTCACTTCTTTTAAAATTCCAGCATATGGTAGACAGCTTACATACGACAGTTCGACCGTCGATTTCGATGAGGCCCACCGTCTGCTCCACAGCAGGATGAGAGCAGGGTCGGTGGCTTACGCAACATCTGCTGCACTCTCTCCCCTTTTTCACTTGGATCCGATGTCATGACCAAGTCACGAATACCGGAGGCGGGAAATGGCGCAACGAAAAACCCGCACCTGGGAGTGCCACCATACCACCTGGTCCACAAGGAACACTGACCAGGACTTCAAACACCAAAAAAGAAAATAAACTAGGCTGACTGCGATTTCTGAGTTGGATCGTCAGTTGGCAACCTTCCAAGTCACAGGCTTTGGCGTACCGTGATAAATTCAAGTGCGCCGGATTGTTTATAGTGAGGCGTTATGCGTTGAGACCGTCGATCTCACTCACTCTGCCCTACCCCGTGCACCAGTCAGTTGTCCGAGCCGGTGGCTGACGGAGCTGAGAATGGGTCGTCTGAGCGTGTAACACACACACGACCTGGCAGGTCTGCGACTGTCTCTGATGATGGGTTCCAACAGGAATCCGAAACTTCAGGCGAATAGAACTCTTGTCCCAGCGATCGTGTCTCCTTCTTCCCGACGGCTTCCTGGGACTCCTCTCTTCGCTTCAACTGTCATTCCCCACTGTCACTCGGGCGCTTCTCTCACGGTGCCAGACGCGTTCTCTCGTCTGGCTGCTGACTTATTCCAAGCGGTTCGCCAATTTGTCTGTACGAAGTATAGCATCCTCTCAACTGGCGTCCCACTTCTCCTCTTCCTGTTCGGAACGAGGCCCAAGGGTCGTAGTGGTTTGGGTCTGTCTTAGCCGCCGCGATACATGTCAGCTTCTGTCGCGGTGTTGGGCACGCAGTCGTCCGCGAAGAGGGTATCGTAGGCAGTAGGCGTGGAGAGACGCCTACGCCGGCTATTGAGATGAACATCGGTTGCGTAGGGGATGCGGGTCCCGGTGCGCTCGTCGCGGTAGGCGTTCATCAGTATGGCAGAAAACATGAGGCTGAAGAGGGTGAGATCGAGGACGCAGCTCTGCTTCACTTCGTTGGCCACTACGCATGCTTCTGAGACCGTCCCACTGTCCGCGACTTGAGCCATCATCTCGTCGTGGGGCTGACGTGCCACGTTCGTTAGTCTCTGAGGGCGGCCGTATCGTTGCATGATTTTTCATAGTCCGTCGCGATTCCCCGTCTTGAAGACTTTCGTCAGGTCCACGAAAGCAGTGTAAAGGTAGACCCATATATTTTTGCGTTTCTCCTCCAGCTGGCGGGCGACAAAGATCATGTTGATGGTTTTGCGGTGGCATCACAATCTGCGTGGGCTTTCCGAGAGGTCCTTTTTCAAGAGGGCCATTGAGATGGTTGAGGAGGATACGAACGAAGATCCTTCCGGTGATGTTAAGTAGCGAGAGTTGCCAGTTCCATTTCCGTTTGTAGACGTCCTGAGTAATTTTTCCTCGGAGCTATATCTCCTGGAATGGCGTTTTAAATTTATCCAGAATCTGGGGCCGCCGTGCTTGTAGACTTCGGTCAGAATCGCGCCAGATCCCGGTGTCTTCCCGCTCGGACTGTTTCTGAAACCGCCCTTGCTTATTGGGCAAACGGCTAAAATGCGAGTAGTCTCCCATGCAAATGTATGCCCAATTTCCGGTGTATGCATGTTCATCTGGGATATATTGTCTCCTCACCGCTAATTAATATTTATTTATACAGGTTGAGCCAGATTTCCCAGTTTGGCCACAATAGACGGCATCACAACTGGTACATGAGATCTTATAGACAACTGATCTTTATCGAGGTAACCAACCCTGTCCTTAGAGTTCAAAAACTGTATGCACAAGGGAATTGCGGGTTGGTGTGCTACTTGTATCTGATGTTTTTTTCAGCTGTCTTTTCATGAACTCAGATACGTTTTTCACGTATGGGAGAGTTTGCGAGGTGAATGATTTTAGTGCTTGGGTGCCCCTGGAGTTTGAAATATTTATCTGTTCGAATTCATCATGCTTCATTCGCCGACGCACAAAGTCACGCTGGTATCTGTCGTGGGAAAATAATTAGAAGAGGTATTTTACTTCTGCTCGACAACTCTCTTCATCAGAGCAGAGAGTTTTGGCTTTATTTAACAGACTGTAGACACAGCTCATTACTGGGAGATGGTATGATTCCTTTCAAAACGTAGGATGACCTCTGGATATGTTTCTTTACGACAAATTGATGTGTGCAGTGATTCAACTGTTTTTCGACATCCAAGGACATCGAATGAGGAAATTTGTCCATCAACCCCCCTCTCGAAAGTAAATGTGATTGCTGGAAATGTAGAGTTAAGATTCGTGCGGAGCAGATTTAAATGGTTCTTTTGTCCATGACAAGCGTGTCATATACGCACACATCTGTCGGCCTGTCATCTGCAAAGTTCGGTTCATGCTGGCCAGCCGGTCGTATGGCGGCGGATCTGCAGGAGAACTCAAATGAAAAACGATGTCTTATTATCGATGAACATTCGGATCAGAATGTTCCCACCAGATAGTGCAGAAGAATACAATGGTAACGGGCACTCTCTCGGAGCAAAGTAATGATGCAGTCATTTTACTGGGGTGGCATTAACCACATTTTATCATGTGCACTCTGTTCAGATACTCATCACGGAAATCAGTTCCAATGACGTCGCTATCCCATTCGACTCCGGATCTCAGATGCACGGGACATAATTGTGATTGCCTGAATTGCAAGTTTCGTCAGTATGAACCACTGTGTGCTTAATCGAATCTCACCGAAATCCTTCTAGGAGTGCGGAAGCAGTTGAGCCTCACTATAATCTACAAGTTTAGGGAAGGCAGAACGGAGTACCGATAAAGACAAGGGAGACTGGGGCAGTTATTTCTGACTTATTAACTGTCGTCAGCCAACCTTGCGCAAACCCAAGTTTGGAGGACCTGAGATCCTGACCAGTGTTCTTTAGTCATTGGGCGTTACTGAATCAAGCGTTCTGCCATTGAGCCTCGGGCAAGTCGTCCTGTCGGGACTCCCCTCTGCATACGCCAGTGGTCGCCGGGCGACTGCCCTCGGTGGCTCTATATTTGGCCTCAAGGCACAATGGGATGAGCATATCTCGTAATCTGGTCGGTGAACGTCCTTCCAACTTGGCAAAAGAAGTGTTTGTGTTGCCTCTGGAGCCCATGGAGTACTAACAACATGCGGACTTTCAGGCTATGTATCACTTCTCTCCTTTTCGAGGCCACACTCTGTGATGGTCTATTTTTATTTCCCAACCTTTCATACGTGAAGCGTCCTACTCCACCCATAAAAATAACGTTGCTATGGTAATTTAAGTGACGTACGCGTGCTGCGAAATAGTCGCCATTACTGTGGAGGCCGCAGATGCCGTCCAGAATACTTAGGGTTGCACATTTTTGGCCGGCTGGGTATAATGCAAACCTAAAGTTGAGAAGGAACGAGATTACGAGCCCTCTTCTATGACTGACCTTATCCATGGACTTTATACCACCACTAACTCCTCGGTGGCATGTATGCGCATCATTATCGTAACCGCCAAAGTGTCATGTTACTTCAGAGTCTCCGAGAAAAGTGGAGCTCAGCTTGGAAATATAGTGCCTTGGAGGAGTTGCTCCACATGCCATTAAGACTTCCTCACGATTACTCTTCACAAACACACCAAGTAGTTGAATAATTTCAAAGTTAATCCATGCCAGCATATGCGAAGCGAACTGTAAACTGGATTTGAATGCTGTTGGACAAATCTTCTTTAGGTGTATTACTTCCAACAGTAATGCCATATTGCACAGAAATTGCAATATGCGCCCAATTTCTTTTCGCGGAACAACTTCGGACAGGGCAAAATTTGCGAGTAGGTGGTGTTTAGTGATGCTATTGCAAATCGGGATCTCTTATTCAGCTACAAACCATTTTTGCTTGTTTGGGCATTATGAGATGTCGCTATGTGAAAAAAACTAGAATAAATACAGTACAACAGGCGATAAACAACAAAAGGACGGATAAGCCATCAGTGGCATAGGAGAATGAGCGATCAGCGACACGTGCGTCTGGCAACCGGAACGGTAGGGGGCGTGCCACGCAAAGTTGGCCGGAACGAGCCAAACGTGATAAGTGATAAACAACACGGGATGCTAGTCAGGCACGTGTGAGAAGGCGTGGCCAGGATTTAGGAGGGAAAAGAGGAAAAGGGCCATTTGGCGCGTACTCGCTATGAAGGCGCTGCAAGGTTGATCACGTGCTCAAACCACCTGCTCAGTTTTTGTTTCGTTTTACTGTTTTCGTTGGGAACAGGTGGTCTTTGCACCTCAGAGGGTCTTAAATGCCGATACTGGATTCATAGTGTGCCGGTGCCTGACAGATGCTTTGTGACTGAACTTCTGGATGCTTTTTCTGCTCTCAAGGCATTTTAGCATGGCCGAATTGTCCGCTGTCTTTGCGTGCGTCCAATGTAAGTGCACTCGCAACCATATATAATTTGACCACAGTTGGGGGTGGCAGAGTACGCAGGGCATTTTTAATTGATACGATTGGGATGGTCGTTGAAAAGCACGGGAACCTCCTGCGAAACTTAGGCACTGTCCCTGTCAACTAAGCTTCCGATGAATGGGTCCCGCCTATGCGCGAGTGAAACCTGGTCTTTATGTTCCTCGTGTTCAAGCGTGAACGTGCTCTTGGGGTGTAACACGTCCATGTCATTGGCGAGTAAATCACCATGCCTCAGATCGGATACTATGGAGAAACATCTATCCAATTGTCTTCTGTAAAGCCTGGCTAGTTGTATCCAGTGCGTTATTTATTCTATACTGCTTATATAAATATGTGAATATGCATGTTTCAGCTGGGTAAAAGCTCTCGAGCTTCGGCGTAATCACTAGGTATTGCTTCCTCTGCAGTGGTAAAATATATTTTTTGATATTTATATTGGAAATCACTTTCCTTATAAAAGGGTGACGGACGATTTTAGAGGTATCAGGACTACTGAAGACTTGTTAAAAAGCGGTCACGTGATTTCAGTGAAAATTCGTAATTTATGAATTTTTAATACCTTTCCTTGAATATGCTGATGTGCTCCCAGTGCAACGTCTATAGCTCTCGTAAGAGTGCTCCAAATCTACACCAGCACCTGGCCTTAGGATTTTCTTCCACTGCAATGTGGAAGCAACAAAATGGCGTCCAAAGAACAAGCATATGACGATTACTTTGTTATCTCTTTTTTTCGTACACCCTGTTTTCATGGTCATCCCTCAGCTAGGCGACTAAGGCTGTCAGTCGCTTGCGTAACCTATCGATTTTCTGCCGCTGACAAGGACGTACTCGTCCAAGAGTTCATTATTGGTTCACGGTTCTGGCTGACTGGTGTGCATCGCTGGCCGACAGCCAATGCACACCGTTTGTCACGGCAGCCTCCCGAAAAAAATGAGCCTATTCCACCGGTGTCTCCCCTCTTCTGCTAGTTAGCGGAATCTGGCTTCGAGATGGTGGTGGTTAAGTTACGTTCACTATCTTGGCCGCCACAAAATAATTCGTCAGACAGCGTTATTTGTCTTGGTTTATGTAAAGTAAGTAATGGATTAAAAGGAAACAATAAAATGAAAACCGCCCCTGCAAAACCGGCTTACAAAACTGTCTGATTTCCGTTCCAATATGAGTTTACTTGAGGTCCTCTATTGTGATTTCAACGGTGCGGTTCTTGAAATAGTCATCACATAAAACAATTGGGTCATCAATGAAACCAACTGAAAAGTCAAGATACAAATCCAACAAGTTAGCATCGGAACCAGGTTCAATTAAAGTCCTTAGGGGTTTGTCCTCGGCAGCTTCCACTTCGCAAAATTTATCGACGTACAACTTTAACTCCTTTGTTGGAAGCTCATTCGCGAACCTGACAATGTGCATTAAATCGCCCACTGTCTTATTCCGATCCATTTCGACACTCACGTTTAGAGCGTTGAAGGGGATTGAGGCATTTACTGCATAGACCACTACTTTCAATTTTGTCTGGTCAATCAACTCAAAACCCAGACCGGGTAGCAAATCCACTCCGCCGATTTTAATGCACTCAACCAGATCGGCCATATTTCCAAAGGT